TTTTGCAGATTTTTTAATAAGGTTTTAATATAATTTAACCAAGTTTTACCTTTATCATTTAGACGTCTGTCTAAACTTTAGATTTCATCCAGCAACCTTAATTACGATAGTAATAAAAATGATGATGATAAAAAAAAAGAAAAAGTAAAAGAAAAAGAGAATAATTAATGAATATAATTAATAAAAAAATTTTTATATTATTAAGTCAAATTTATATAAACAATTATAAATGTTATACAAACATTATATGAATGTGATTTACAAATGTTTATTAAATTTTATCTTTTGAATTTATTATTATTTTGATCAAATTTAAGTTCTATTTCCTTTATTTTTAATATAAATTTTATTTTTGTCTTTCTTTCAAATTCTTATTTTTGTTTTTTTTTACCTCCAATTTATTTATTTCAATAGCATGATTTTTTTCTTTTTTTTCTTTTTTTAATTCAATTTTTTTATATTCTTTCTTTAGTTTCACTTATAGTAGAAATTGCAACAGCTTTAAAATCTACATTATTTTTTTATTGATTTTTAGATAAATTACATTCATTTATCAAAGATTCTTGATTTCATTATTGGTAAATCTATTTATTAAAAAGGTAATATATTTTCATGAGTGTCAAACAAATTATTCATTTTTTCATACTATTTCAAATCTTTTTTTCTACATCAAATCTTTTATTATGTTTTTTTAATTTCTGTATAAGTTTAAATCATTCTTATTAATTTAATTTTAATAGTATGAAGTTCTTTATTTTTTAACATATTTGTAGACATTTTATTAAACATCTTCATTTTATTTTCTTTTTTATACTCATCAAAATAATCAGTAATATGTTAAATTAAAAGATCAGTTTCATGACCTTTTCAAATATAATTTGATTCATCTAAAAAATCTAATTTTCCTTTAATACCAACTTTTATTTTGTTAGAAATTTTTGTAACTTTCTAAATATATTTAAAATTAAATTATTATTAAATAATCTTTGTAATTTAATAAAAAAAAAATAAAAAAAAAGTATTTTTTTTACTTCTAATTTCTTTTTAGAAATATCAAATTTTTCTTTTCTTAAGTTAAGTTTGTGCTTTGTAAATTTGAAGATTCTTTCTCAATGTCAATGTAATTGACTGTAGAAGCACCTCTCAAAAATTGCTTATAATCATTATATAAATAATTAGGAGCAGCGAAATTTTGATAAGAAAATTGAGACAAAGCTTCATTTTATTCTTGTTCAAAAGAGCCAGTAGAATACTGCTTTGGATTTTTATTTGACAGATTATTTGAGATATCTCTTGAAAATTCCACGATGAAAAAAAAACGTGTTAAATACGTGTTATGCATGTCTACTCAATTATCTAAAGATTTATTTATCATCATGAAGTCCAATTTTATTGGTCAGAAATTTGGTGTAACCCGTTCAAAAAAGCTGATCGATTAGAAAAAAAAATTTATTTATTTTCTAATTTACATACTCTTTTTTTGCTGGGATTTTCCTTGCCATTTAGAACGTTCAGAAGAACCTCCTAGAAATGTTATTTATTAAATAAATCCTTTTCATCAAGTACCATATAAATTCCATCCCTCCATCAGGATACAATGTTGTAACGAAAATCGATAACAACGTGTTGATTGCAAAAGAAAATTTCATATTCGCACTTTCATATTTCCCAAAAGCACTGACTATATAAGCTTCATTAAATGACTAGGTAAGGATTGGAATAGATTTAACAAAATAAATCGATTTTATTTATGGGCAACGATTGATTTTTTGATCAAAAAATTTTTTTTTTTAAATTTACTTGTACTGTATTATTAATCAATATCACATGATTTATCCTTTATGTATATCAGAAAAATAAAATATTATTATAATGTATGTACCATTATATAGCAATTATATAAAGCAAAAACAGATTAAATTTTTTGTGTACTACATAGTTCCTATAATTGACATAATTTTTGATTAGCCAAACAACAAAATTATTCACGAAGAAAAATGTGACTCACAATGTCTTACCGATTCTTTGGATCAAGACGAAAAGATGTATTCTATTCATATTTCTCTTTTGATATACCGAATTTAGATTCTACATTTTCTTTAAAAAAGCTCCATTTCTCGTTAAGCAGTCTAAAATTGGCATTTGTTAGCTCAAATCCCGTTGTTATTCTTTCTTTCAAGGCCTCGTGTCTTTCCCCCAAGATATCAATTTTTTCTTTCAAGGTCTCGTGTCTTTCCCCCAAGATATCAATTTTTTCCTTCACCGTCTCATTCATCTTTGTTATTTCCTAAAAATCAATATGTTATTATGTGAAACAGATGACATCATCATTTAAGGTTACTCTACATACTTCTTTGATTCGAATCATGTAATTACACATTTCCAATACTTTCATAACGGTGAATAACGCTCCAATGAATTTTAAAAGATTGAGAAACATGTTATAATAGTAGTCTAAAGATATACAGACTTGTTAATATGTTAACAAAGAAACGGTGAAGAAACACTTTCTTACCTAGATTTTCTAATACCATTGGTTTTTGCGAGTCCATAATGTCTATAAGTTTTTTTTTAAAAAAAATAAGTTTAAAAAAATAAAAATAAGTTTTAAAAAAAATGACATTCTATTTATATTAAATTTTTTTTCGGAAATTGAAATCTCTCTATGTCTGATGACATACCAAGTTCTGCGCATCTCAGGTGATCGATTTCTTAGAGCAATGATATGAAATCGATGAATTCCTTAATATTTGTATCCTTTTAGGAATAACGATCTCTGGTTTTTCATACTATACTTCAAGAAGGAAAATTTCATTATCTTGACATCCTTATACCAGCTAGTGCTATGAAATTCAGATAGCAAAAAAGGATAAATTGGAATTTCAATTTCAGTTACAACTTATCTTCATTTCTCAATTTCAGAGTATCAATCGACGCTGTTGCGCAGCTATGGCGCAGACAAAATTTAAACCAATAAAAACGAGAAATAACGTTGTCCTAAATCCTTTTCGAGTAAGTCTGGAGCACATGTGTAACAAAAGGGACCAGACTAATAATCATTCTTTATAATTTATTAGTATAATAACCATACTGGTTTATCAGAAGATCGCGTTAAAATTGCTACAGATTTGATATTAAAGAGTTTATTTTGCTCCAAAGGAAATTATCATTTTAAATTCTAATTATATTTATTTATATAGGAATCTAATTGTCTAAAGTATTAATAACATTCTATTAGTTTATTATTTAAATTCTATAAAATTATGTTCGCACTATACTTTTAATACAAGTTTTTTTATAAAAAAAAAAAAAAAATCTCTCTTTGAATTTATCTAAAATTTCTCCAACAATGAAGTTTTTTCATCAGGCTGCTTGTTCACATCATCATATAATAATTCCTCCTTTTTCTTCAATGAACTCTTTTCATCACGTGATTCATCAAATGTTGATAACTGAATAAATGGTAACATGTTAAAAATCCATTTAAGAGTGGGCTTTTTACCTAATAATTTTGCTCTGTCATAAGTAATTATTACACATATCAAGTAGGAACCATAAGATGCCGTAAAGTGCCTATTACAGAATGGAAGGAATGAAATAAGGTGTTAACATGTATGTATATATATCAACTTCCGCAATCGTCATAAATATAAATTCCTAAAAGCATTAAAATTGTTCCATCAAGAATACATACCACCACGCGTGTAATTGAGGATTTGGCAAAGCGAAAGGTAATTGATGTACAGCAGAACAATAACGTAAATCAATATGCCAACCTATATAACCTAATGAGAAAACAGCGCTTCCTAATAACCAAAGTCTGGTGATAGAAGGTTCACCATAAGGCTTTAGTACAATCAATATCGTATGAACATATACGAATATTGCCATAGCAACAAATGTGCCTGTAAAAAGGAATAAAAAAGAGAATTAATTTATGTCACGTCATACTTTTCAATGTTGCAGGTTAACGAAGAATTACTACCTTGGAATACATAAAATTCAACTTCTTGCATGAATTTGTTATCATATTCTTTACCAGATTTTACCATAACGTAAATTATACCAATACCCCAACAAATTAATAGAATGGGAAACCAATTGCCAAATCTTTTTTGAGGTTTATTTTCAACTACACTATATAATAACGTTAATATACAAAACATCATTGGTATTTCGTCAAATAATTGCAATGAGAATAATAACGTTCCATGAAATAATATCGATCCTATTCCAATAACTACGATCCTAAGAAGGGATGAAAGATTTAAGGTTAGCGAGATAGCGAGAAATGACGAAAAAATTGAATGACGATGTCATTCACCAATTTTGAAGGATGCATAAAAAGTTTATTGGTACTTACGAAGCAAATGCTATAGGATAACGTAATTCAAAACCTTTATAGTGCATCATTACACCGAACACACCAGCACAAACCATACAAAATGATGATATTGTGTTAAAAAATTCGGCTATGTAGTATGTAACATCATAATTCTTTTCACACCAATCTATTAAGATTTCGATAAATTAATTTATTTATTAGCGAAATTCATAGAGAAATTGAGAAATTAGAAAATGGTTACTTACCGACTATTTTATTTATTAGTTATTTATTAATGCGCAGAAAAAGAGTTAGCGTCGATAGAACAAGGTAACGATAAAATATAAAAGGAATCATTGTACCTGTCGAAGTCGGTTGACCCCAAAATCCTTCTATGGAATGATTATTCGAATCCATAAAGACAAGGTAAATTTATTATTATGTATTGCTAATAAGTTACCTTTTAAAACACTTTCCAAGTGAAAATTTTTGATCCTTCTTTCATCTTAAGAAACAAAGGGTATTTATATGTAATCGTAATTATGAAAGATCAAGTTAATTAGTTTAAATCGTTATGTTGTGTATAAAGTAATAAAAAAATACCATGCCGGTACTCTTTCTTTATTGTTTATTTTTTATAATTTATCTGTTTATTTATTGTAATAAATATTTGTCAATGATTTGATCTTAAAATTGTGTGAATAAATAATGCTGAACCAATTAATTATTACTTTTCGTGTGACATCAATCAATCACGAATTAAATGGGATTTCCTTTTTTTCTGTTTATTTTTTCGTTTGACTACACCAAAACATCCTTTGATGTCATCTAACTTGTTCACGTTTTTTTAAATAAACAATGGAATAAAAAAATAAAAAAGGTCTTTTTTATATATAAATATTTATATTTCTTATCGTGATACTAAGCGATAATCTACCAAAAAATATTTACGATATTTACGGCAGGTAAAATGACATGTTGTTAATAGAATATCGACTGGAATAATCTTATTAGTTGGATAAATTAAATTAAATTCGATGCAGATGATTCGTTTTTTTTTTTTTGATCTCAAATTCATTAACCAAAATAGTTTGACCGATCAATTGAAAACTTCTATTATATCTAAATCAAGTAAGATAATGAAAATTGAATATCAAATGATTCTGAGAATGTCAAATTTGAAGTTAAAAGGCTCTACTTGGTCCGTGTTCATGTTGTTTAACCTCGTACTCGAATTTTCCTAACTGCGCTATATATTATCTTATTTTCAGTTTTATCTTGAAATATATTTTTTTTCTTGCGTATTTTTCGTAAAAGGATTCCATCTTAGAACAGTTTGATGAAAAAGCAGGACAAAGTCCCAAACCTTGCAATGTAAGTTTTTTTAAAAAAAAATATTTTTTAACCTTTATTTGCGAAATGTCCACACTAGCTTCTATAAAAAAAAAATAAAAAAAGGCGTATAGTCAATAAATAAAGGCAATTCATACTTAAGTTCAATTTTATATGGGTTGAATATAAATATTAAACTTCAACAAATAAATCATTATAAAGTTTTATTTAATGCCAAAAGCACCACCAAACTTAAAAGTTGGTATAAACAAATGACGAATGAAATACAGTATAATAACACACTTATCAATCAATCAATCTTCGGTTGTTTCTATTTCTTGTATAAAAATTTAATAATTAATTTTAGTAAGTTAATAACTTACAAATAATAAATATAATAAGAAGAGAATACCAAATACCTTCAAAATTTATCTTTGTAAAATCAAATTCCATGGATCCTAGAAATTTAAAATTATTTATATTAAACTCGTGAATAATATAATGATAAAAATTTATAAAATTCTTTACCCGAAACATTATAAAATTGATCGTTTATTTTTTTAGAATTTTGTGGTTCAGGAAGATCCTCCATATTT